ATTTGAGCAGACACCATCCACACAAACGTCAGATTTGGGTCTCAAAGAGAAGAGAGCGACATTTATCTGTGGCTCTGTAACTCTTGACTCCTACAGGAAAATCATATAAGCTCATGTCAGCCTGTATATGGAACACGGTGAACTGCTCCTTTCTTTTTCACTCCACCTAAAAGACCAATGCCGTCAACGCGAATACATGCGTCTTTCCTAATTCACAGACTGAAAAAAAGCAAAAAAAAAAAAATCATGACCTAATTATCATGATCTAATCACGGTTGTTCATCAGTTGTACATAATTCGAACAACTTCTTATACTCAGCTGTACGCATTGAGATCTATAGTTTGTAGCGTGCACTCACAACAAGCCTTGCGAAGTATAAGTAATTATCGTGAGTGCACACAGAAATGATGTTGTTATCGTCTTGCTCTCTTGAGATCTTGGTAACTCACTGTTCGAAATGCTCGCTGCGTATTAGTGTTGAGAGTCAGATTGCAACGCTAGCTTATGATGATGCCAATGAATCTTATAGCAGGCCCGCTTTTCTACTCGCGCGATTGCTGCTTCGAGGCCAAACGTGGGGTGATCCGGCAATTGGCGACCGGTATACAACCCCGGAAGTAGTGGTGACTTCCGATGGCCCGTAAGTGCGCTGGGGAATATCGCTAACCCGCCAACGAGACCAGCTACAAGCTGACGAGTCTTTGAACCTTCCCAGAGATCGCGTGGCATACGCGAACCCCTACACCTACCTCGACGAAACACTACGTATTCACTGATCGCTAGAAGCGATTTTTCGACACACGTACTAATGGATGTTGCTACACCCATCTCTTCGGAACCAGTACACGGCAACCACAAAATACTCATTAATGACTATAAAGTACTCAATAATGGTTATAAATTATGCGAGGGAAAATGGAACTACCGTATAAATAAGTAATTTGTTTTACTTATTTATGAGCAGCTGTTATTCACAAATTATAAGCTTTTACTCAAATTTGAACACCCAACCAGGGGATGTAACATTTGCTTACAATAATGAGGGATTCATCATTGCAGGATGTTAGTGGAGACTGCATGAACGGACGATGAGATATACCGAGCTGCGATCCAATGCAAGACAATGGAGAAAGAAAAATGTGGCGTGTATTAGTGAAGAAGCAAATACTCATTTAAAGTCTGGAACGTGCAAAAATCGGTTAACTTCAAATTAGTGTATTTCTGTTAAAAATGCATTAAAAAAAACTGAAATGCTGCATTTGGAAGTTGAGTGTATATACAATGGTTGCTTTGATGAGTTTTCACCGTTTGCTCTCCAGTTTTCAAAATGACGTCCAAGCAAGAGGAGCAGCAAGAGAGTCCGACGTTCTCACACGTCAAGTTGGGAAAATTTCTGGATGTGGCCAAATCGACCGTGATAAACGTTTTAAAAGTGTTCGGGGAGCGTCTGTCAACCGCCAAGATGCCTGCAAGCGGTGGAAAACGTAATCCGGACGTTTCAGCGACGACGAAGAAGGTGGCGGTGAAATATATGCGGAATCTTAACCTTTCCATCCAGGACATCGCTGGAAAGCTCAATGTCTCCAATACTACTGTGCAGCGGGCCAATAAACGAGCCGAGTTGTCGACGTTTTACAAGGTAAAGGTGGCGAACCGAGATTACAAACATAACACGTCGGCAAAGCAGTGGTCCCGAAAGCTGTATACGAATCTGCTCACAATGCTCGACTGTGTCATCATGGACGACGAAACTTATGTGAAGGCGGATTTCAAGCAGCTTCCGGGACAGGAGTTTTATACCGCATCAGGAAAAAGGGAAGGTGGCTGAAACTTTCAAAACCATCAAACTATCGAAGTTCCCGAAATATATCTCGTCTGGCACGAGGGGGGCGACACATCTAAATCTCAATTTTGGATGCTCAAAAAATCTCACACTAACGAAACAATCTTCGAAAAATCTTCTTGCATTTCTCGCATCTACTTGCATCGCGCATCACCTTTTTGCAGGAAATCTTCAGAATCATCATTAATCTTCTTTCAACACAATCTTTCCTGCAGCGTAGATAGAGTCGTCCCCCTCGGTCTAGCAGGCCATATGCACGTGTGGTCTAAAAAGCGGCATTACTACGGGAACCATTAATCAAGAAATCTACGTCCAGGAGTGTTTGGAAAAACGGCTGCTACCATTCCTAAAGCAACATAATAGACCTGTGCTGTTCTGGCCGGGCTTGGCGAGCTGCCACTATGGGAAAAAGGCAATCAAGTGGTACGATGCGAACAACGTGGCTGTGGTACCCAAAGACCACAACCCTCCCAACAGCCCAGAACTCCGTCCTATCAAACGGTATTGGGCCTTGGTCAAACGGAATCTAGAAAAAGACTAATAAATCAATGAAAGCGAGCAGCAGTTTGAATCTAACTGGCGTTCGGCGGCGAATAAGGACGATGAGACCACTGTGCAAAATTTAATGGAAGGGGTTAATCGGAAGGCACGGCAGTTCGGATTTGGCAAACCAAAAGAATAAACGAATGTTTGTTCCTTTAAATGTATGAATTGAACTACCAAAAGACAAATAAGAAGATTTTTGTGATATGAATTTTGACTGACAAAACGATTTTTTCGTCCTCCAATTTTTGAACGTTACAGTATGTATATAATTTTACTCATTTATTAAGTAGTATTATTTTCCTTAAAAAATGCGTACTTTATTAGTCATTATTTTGCGAGTATTTTGCTTTTTGTTCTTTATCATAGACATTTTTAACCATATGGCTAGGTCATCTCTCAAAAGTATTTTGTGGTTACCGTATACACAAATCCCAAAGATTTTATTTTGATTTTTTTGGATGGTTTGTACCTTTCTTTTTCCGATTATTTTCATTTTGGTTTAGTGGATGTCAGTAAACCTTGTTATTGACAGTTTTTTCCCTGCTAAATTTCACGTTTCTGATCATATATCCGTAACCAAATGATTCGAAAACAGAAGATATTTATCGAAGGATCCATCTTTGGATTCAAATCCACATTACTGATAAATTGTCATAATTTAAAAATAAATGGAACTGGTTCCGGCATCTCATAGAAAAGTAAGTGACTAGCAAGGAATGGATAATATTCAATAGAATTTTATCCCAAGCAATATTTCCTGATTTTTATGGTCTTCAAATCCATTGTTTGCTTTCTAAACTTCTTCAATGATAAAACCGAACGTTTTACTTGAAATGATTGCACTCAAATAAGTTCAGTCAGCTCTGGGAAAATGGGTATAATAACAACATTGTATAGCCAAATGTCACTTCCAAAAGTCCGATCGGGATTACATTCGATAGGTTTATATGGACCCAACCGGGGGATGTAAGATTCGCTTACAATTATGTGGGATTCATCATTGGAGGATGTTAGTGGAGACCGCATGAACGGAGGATGCGATGTACCGAGCTGCGGTCCAATGCAAGAAAATGTAGAAAGAAAAATGTGGAGTGTATTAGTGAGTGAAATTAATCATGGCAAAACAAAAAGGTGCCGACTGGGACTCTAACCATTAACGTTTCGATTATCAGACCTGTGATTTCTCCACTGCTCTCTCCATGCTTCGGCATATGAATAGGCTAAAAGTGAATAAGAAGCACTCATAGTACGATAATTTGATTTTACTGCTGAACGAGAATTGGGGAGAATCAAGCAACAAGCAAGTGTGTGCGTCGTTCTACAATGTTATAAATAAAAATATTGGTGTCGAAAGCGTAGGCAGAACACGAAATAAAAAAAAACGCAAAAAACCATAGGAATGTAAAAAAATTTCGGTTTGCGTGTGCAAGTAAATTACTGAAAAATATACCGATTGCACTTCAGTGAAAATTTGTTCATCTATCCCTTTGAAATGTGGGTTAATAATATCATGGTTTTATAGCGAAAATAAGCTTTATTATTTATATCTCAAATACAAAATGTTCGATTGGGATAAAGTTCAGACAGTTCTATTGGAGCAAAATACAGAAACAGAAACCGATTTCACATAACTAAGTGCAATTCGGTTCTGTAATCTCCGAGAAACCGAGCTCGAATTTGAAACTCAAAAGAAAAAAAATATATAAAAGTGATATCTGTTAGGCTTATCAGATAAAAAATATTTTAATTTCACATCCATTTTGTTTGTATAAACATAAATGGCATTTATACTCGTAAACGACATTGTATGACGGTGATTTCAGTATCATATGAAATTTATCTCGATCAAAAACGGCTACCATATGCCTATGAAAAAGTATATTAAAACATAACCGCGGACTGTGCATTGTAACTAGAATTATGATTGCATCTAGTATTCATAAGCCGGAATTTTTAATTGCTCCTTGTATACGGGGCTAATTATTGTTGATATTTCCAGCTGATCCGCAGGATTATCCACCGGTGCTCGATGGGATTAGTGTTCATGAAGATTGCATCATCCCAAAACGGCAACCTGGCCGACCGGTTCCGAAAAGCCTGACATTAACCCAGCTTCGAGATGATGGTTGCTAGATAATCCTATCATATCATTGGTTGGAATAAAAAAAATGCTAAAGACACATTCTACGTGAAGTTACAACAGTGTTTGCCTGTTTCTTGACAGTTTTTGTACTGTAACTCTAAAAATGAAAAGAAATAAATATTATTGCAGATTTGGACAGCGTGTTAAATTTTCCATAAGAATTGATCAAGAGTTTCCAATTTGAGTAGCTCAAAACGTGTTGGTGAGTAGATGATGAGTAGTTAAGGAGTGGAAAACTTTGTATGGTCACGCAACAAAGACTCTAACAAAGAGCTACTCAAATCATAAACTATTGATCAATCCTTATAGGAAATCTATCACACTCTATAAACCTGCTATAATATTTAAGGGTTACTTTTATTTATTATTTCCAGTCACAGTACAAACACTGTCAAAAAATCATGCAAAACCGTGAACACATCTTGGTAGAATGCATCTATATGGGAAAGATTTATTATTCAACTTACCATTAGAAAGCAAACAAACAAATTAACAATTTGTTCCATCCTACTGAAATATGCAATGATTTTGTATATGTCAGCTACAAAAAAAAAACAATTTTCGCCTTCAATTTCCCTGTTTCTCCACTCCTGTTCGTTCTGCACAGCACGCCTTCGCTTTCGGTGACCGTCAGCACAAGCTATATTGCCTCTTGCATTCGCATCGGTGCATGTTTCCTTCCGCTGACTCTTTGTTATCTTCAGTTCTGTTTTGCCTTTCTGTCTTCTTCTTCTTCTTATACTTCTTCCTATCACGAAGTATCGAAAAGAATCATTAAGCTAGCAAACATTACAAACTATCCTGCCGGGGGTTGAATTCGTTTCGAGCTTAGGTCCAAGTGCACAATCAACGTCCTTTGCTTTGCTGTGTGCTTTCACTTAAATCAACATTCCAGAGCGGGTAAACCGCAAGCCACGCTGTGCGCTGACGTCGGTCTCTTGGTCAGCGGTGAATTGCAAAAATTGGTCCATTGTGGACAGGTAGCAGCTCACTGTCTTTATTTCGCTAAATTTGCTTTAGCCACTTGCGTTCCGCGATTCCGATTGCAAAATCAAATTGGCAAATTTGCATGACCTTGAAAAACGCTTTCTTCTCCACAGAACCACCAACAAAGCCGCACAAGTCTTATAAATTTCTGTTTGAGCAAATATTTTCCGGTTGACTAAGTCCTACTTCGAGGCAGTAACTAGTTCAAGATCTTCACAGTCCACACTCTTACCACCCTCTTTTAGATACACAAAGTCACTCAACCACCTCCGCTTGGAACTGTGGCTAAAAAAAACAGCACCTCCCTTCTATTCTCAATCCAGTTCCTGGGAATACTGGTGCGGTGGTCCTTGATGGTTATAACACTACCAATCGATCGTGACGCACCGTATCCGAATTCTGTCCTGTCACAGTCACCAGTAATGAGGAGAGCAAAGCACGCGCGCGGTTCTGAAATATAATGCTAGGACCCGGAGCATCTATTCTACAACACGGACGGCTGTGCACTGACAAATGTTATGTGAAGCAGAAATTAAATTGGCACGATATACATATTTTTCTACTATACATTATACTCTTCGCGTTGCTCAGAGGACTCGGGCGGGTGTACATGCTCAACTTCTCGCCTGCTTGGAATTGACCGAACCGATCGAAATCCGAGAGAATGGGGCTTTTAGAACGGTTGGTCTGTGAGAACAGACTCGAGAGTGCCCATAGGATCGTTCTGTTGCTTGAATTCTGCTGCAGTAAGTACCTAGTGCCTGTATGGTTAACAGGATTCAATGGATGTGAATATTCCTATGATAAGTATTTCCAGACATCACATCATTAACAAGATTTTTCCACAAGTTTCATTGCGTTTCAATAAATTAATATCCTTAAATTATTTAATATTAAAGGTGGCTATTCATAAACTACCTTGACTGCTTATGCAGTTGATCATACACATTTTTGAAATTTGTGTATATACCTGGGACACTTGTGAAATCCAACACAAACCAACCCAAAAGATGTTATAGACCGGACCGGGAACCGAACCTACCACCCTCTGGCTTGGTAATACATATGCAGCATCTATGGTGGACAAACAAATCACCGTATGTGATTTGTTTTAAAAACAACTTTCAAGCAGCACAGCAGGCGGTGCACAGTGGGACGAATCCATACAAAAACCAGCCGTAAAGAAAATTATTGTTTGAAATCGTTTCGAACATACTTTTTAAGAAATTTTATCCTCCTGAATTCAAATGTTGCGTTCAAAAAAATCATAAAAAAATATTCTAGGGTCGTTCTAAAACATGTCATTTATTTTTTTATTTTTATGGTCACAGGAGCAATTTTACAAATCTTAGGTCAAACATTGAAGTTATTTTTTTTTTTTTTACTTTTATTTGTAAACAATCATTGAGTGTCTTGGAAATTACATGTGTCATGCCTTGGTCTAAAATTTACAGTTTTTCAACGAAGTTTCATCTTCACCGGTATGCAAAAAAATCAATTATTGTCGGATTATGCATACATTTTGTATTTGAGGCCAAATGTATCTGATAATCTAAAACAAATGTATCAAAATTAATAATTAATGAAAAAATCTACTACGATCGGTGGGATTTGCACTCGTCAACCAAAAGCTACAAGAGACAGCCTAATGGGGTTGTACGAACTGTTGACTGTTGAATGTTGACGTTGACTGTTGACGCTACTGAACACAAATCTGCTGACACCGTATCATACGGAAAGCATGACAGAGAGGACTCAAACAGACGTCATATATACCGACTTGTCAGCTGCCTTCGATCAGCTAAGCCATGCCATCGCGATTGCCAAGTTGCATAGACTTGGGGTCAGCGGCATCCTCTTGCGATGGTTTCGTTCATATCTCACTGACTAACCATGATGGTTGCTATTGGTCCATATATATCTAGCTACGTCAGGAATACCTCAAGGAAGTCACCTGGGACCTTTGATTTTCTTACTTTACTTCAATGACGTGAACTTGGTAATCGAAGGCCCATGACTATCGTATGTAGATGATCTTAAAAGCTAACTACAAATCCGCTCGATTGATGACTGTCACTTCCTTCAGATCCAAGTCTTTGCCAGCTGGTGTAATTTGAACAGAATGGAGGTTAACCCCACTGTTCAGTGATCACGTTTACTCGGAACAAAGAACCAATCACATTTGACTACGATCTTATGAGCACTGTAATCGAACGTGTGAACCATGTGAAAGATCTGGGTGTTATTCTGGATTCTGCTGATTGATCTGGAGCCTCTCCAAACTAGAAGGGATCGCGGACATTCTACAAGGTAGAATTGATTGCAGTGCAATCTTGGAGCAAGTCAACATTAATGTCCAACCCCGTGCACTACGTAACAACGTTATGCTGAGATTACCACTTCAGCGCACAAACTATGGCATGAACGGTGCAATTGGTGGGCTTGGAGTGTTCGAGTCTCGAGCATCTTCGATTTCCATCTGCCTCGACAGGTGATACGAAGATACTTCTCATCGTTCTTTTCTGGCACAGTTAACCGTGAATGATCGTGTGTTTTATGTATGTATTTTATTATGCTTGCACAGCTAAAAAACAGTAGTGTAAATTTCCGTTACTATGATGCACATAAATGGAGCGTCATATATCATACAATTTTAGATTATAGATCGTGTAAATTAATGAGACATGTAATGCAATATCCCATATATTGTATAAAACTGTCCACTTTTGTTAACCTAACCTATATAAGTTACTTAAATTATCATTGGAGCACTGGCTCAGCCTGTTGATGCAGACAAATAAATAAATAAATGAAATATTAACTATTTCGAGTAAACCATAACATTCCAATGAGATTGATGATTTGTTAATTCTTTGGTGATTTTTCATTACAAATTTCAACAAATCGTGATTTTAGCGTCTGAATTTTATCAAATTTGGACCCCCTACGCTTGATTTCCTGATCGATTTTGTTGTTGTCGTGTGTACCAGCTAATCAATATATTTATCGATATTACTTTCGTCTATGGAGGTTGCCGATTGTCATACGACCAAAAACGTTGATTTTTTAACATTTACGATATTAGTACGCTTATTTGCCAATAGTAGCACCACCAACGAAACAACGTGACAGCTCATACAAGTTGTGTTTAAATTCTTGCTATATTTTACATACGTTAAACACCACCGCCATCAACTCATCCGGTCACGTCATAACATGAGCAACGACAAGAACACACGTAGAATTTATATAGCATTGGTTTGCATCTCACTACGTTTGAAAATTCTGATCGCCCGTTTGACAGTTCGAAGGCTCGTTAAATAAATCGAATTGTGGACAAAAAAAAGCTCATATGGAAATGGCTTAATACTTTATCGACCTCTAACCGTCTTGTTCGTTCCATAAATAGCCATGTTTTAAGGTCTCTAAAGTCGCCATCTTCGACTACAAAATGGTGTCAAACATCTTTTTCTGGCCTCTACACTTGGTCCCTGTTCCGGAAATACCCATACTGACAGTCTGAAGAACTTTCTTTAAGACAACTAGATGACCAGAATCTGAAGATATAGTACATACATGAAGTTCACATGAACACTAACTCCGCGTAGTGAAAGAATTCTGATTCAAGCTCTCCTGAACAACTTTTAAGAAAGCAGCAACTTGCTAGATAGTCTGGATATCATGGTATAACTTATAAAGTAACTTCACATGTTTTTTAAACAACTTGGCTGAAGACGGCACTAGCCAAAAGTAAATACGCACACTAGCGCCGCATAGCGAGATAGTTCAGAACTAAATTAGCTATAGCATTTGGAAGGCTTGGTCACCTGAACAACTTTTCCGAAGACAGTAAATTCTTTAAGGGTCAGGATATAATGATATATTTTTTTTTTAGAACCAGTAATTTGATCTATTGTAACTAACTCATTTTTTGCTTGTTTCAAGATCATCCTCGGTGGATAAAGCCGAGTCTTGTCACGATCAACAAGGTATAAAAAGTGTCAAGGACTAAGATATGTTCCTTTGATTACTGGAAAATCCTGTTCCCCTAGTTTTAAGTAGTCAAGACTAGGAATCGGTATTACATATACACGACGTTCATATTGACACTAACCCTGCGTAGTGAGAGAATTCTGAACTAATCTCCACTTCTAAGAGAAAGAAATTTCTACTCATACCTCATAAGGAGAAATTTCTTTCTCTCCGATTAACTGTATGCCCGGAATTCCGCTACAGGTATGCAACATTTCGAGCGTCTCAAAGAAATTTCATTATTTTTTTCTGTAATCACATTTAATCACCTCTCTTGCATCACATTGATGCAATTTAGTTGATGAAATTTGTTGAACAGAAATAATTATTCGAGTATTTCGAATAATAGCGTCCCCTGTGAAATTAACTTTAATGTATATGTACCGCTTTATCGGGCAACGGTTCAATTTTTAAACATTTTTATGAAAAACATTGTTTACAAGTTCTTCTTACTCTTCCTGGGAGGCTACTTGACCTCCTCATCGTCCATAATCCACTACTTTTCGGTATTATCTACACCGTATGAAAAATTCCTGAAAATTTCTGCGATATATAGCGAACACATTATTAACGCTAGATTTGGCGTAAATTTACACGATCTATCATGTGAATTTAAGCGCATAAATCAGCAATGTTGTATACAAGTTTGTAAGCAATTTCGTTGTTATTGGCAACTTTAACTCAGAATTATACGAGAGGGGATTTTACGTGACATATAAAATTCAGGTTTTTTTTTCTGTGACTATCCCAAATTTGTGGAAGTAGTACGCGTGGATTTGATGCTTGAAAACAGGTGGCTGCTGTTTCTGGGCATTGATTGTTTCCTCTCCGCTAATATTCTCAGCCTCCGGGAACGCCACGTCCATTTCCACTGTCTCTTCTTCCAGCACCTCAATCGCTTTCTCTGAATAGAATATATTTCTCTTCCGATGCTGAAAATACCTATATTGAAATGTATTTGACCGTATTTTCACTTATCTGAAACCAGAAGACACCATATTGGATTTCAAAACCATCGGACTATGATATCCGGTCTCTAGACATCACCTTGATTCCAAAAATACCCATATTGCAGGGTATTTAACAGTAATTCACACTTTTCCAAAATCTGAAGCCGGCCATCTTGGATTTCAAAATAGCGTCGGACAGCGTTGGTCTCTAGACGTTATTCCGATTCTGAAAATACCCATATTTAAGAGTATAATACAGTTGTTCCCATTTTTTCCTGAAACCGGAAGCTGCCATCGTGGATTTCAAAATGACATTGAACATCATTTTCTGGACTATGGACATCGTCGAAATTCCAAAAAATGTTCATTTTTTTTCCTTTGGTTTGTTTTCCGTCGATCTTGTTTTCCGTGCTGATCACCAATGCTACCGAAGCCAGGGAGGCATCTCCCACACCTTGACCCTACCACCTATCGACCCGTCAACCGTCCCATGAACTGGGGACCAACCGGTTTACTTCCCTTCCCGAAGGAAGGCGTGATCATGTTATGTTATGCCTCAGAACATCCTGGTGGCACCGACTAGGATTG